CGCTGCAGTAAACGCAGTGGTGCATATATTCCTTGGAATTAGCGTTTTGGGTTTCTTCGGATAAATTCCCAGAAATGGAATCACTGGGTCATAAGGAAGTTCCATTTTTAATTTTTTTGAGATAACTCCATACTGCTTTCTACAGTGGCTGCACCAGTCTGCATTCCCACCAACAGTGTACAAGGGTTCTCTTTTCTCCACATCCTCACCAACACTTGTTTTTTGTTGATTTATTGATGGTAGCCATTTGGACAGGTGTGAGGTGATATCTCAGTGTGGTTTTAATTTGCATTTCTCTGACGATTAGTGATGTTGAGCATCTTTTCAAATGTTTATTGGCCATCTGTCCTCTTTGAAGAAGTATCTATTTAGGTCCTTGGCCCATTTTTAAATTGAATTGTGTTTTTGGTGTTGAGTTTTGTTAGTTTTTTAGAAATTTTGGATATTAACCCCTTATCAAATGTATCAGTGAATATGTTCTCCCACTCGATGGGTTGTCTTTTCATTTTGTTGATGGTTTCCTTTGCTGTGCAAAAACTCTCTAGTTTGATGTTTCATTTGTTTATTTTTTTCTTTTGTTTCCCTTGCCTGAGGAGATCTATCAGAAAAAATATCGCCATTGGAAATGTCCAAGATTTTACTGCCTATGTTTTCTTCTACGATTTGTATGGTTTTGAGTANTGCCTATGTTTTCTTCTACAATTTGTATGGTTTTGAGTATAACATTTAAGTCTTTAATACATTTTGAGTTTATTCTTGTGCATGGTGTAAGAAGGTGGTCTAGTTTCATTTTTTTGAACCTATCTGTTCAATTTTATTGAATAGACTGTCTTTATCCCATTGTATGTTCTTGTTTCCTTTGTCAAATATTAATTTACTGTAAAGGTGTGGGTTTATTTCTGGGCTGTTCCATTGATTTATATGTCTGTTTTTATGACAGTACCATGCTATTTTGATTACTATGGCTTTGTACTATAGTTTGATATCAGGTAGCGTGATTCCTCCAACTTTGTTCTTTTTTCTCAAGATGGCTATTGCTTTTTGGGTTTTTTTGTGGTTCCATATAAATTTTTGGAGTATTTGTTCTAGTTCTGTGAAATATGCCTTTGGTATCTTGATAGGAATTGTGTTGAATCTATAGATTGCTTTGGGTAGTATGGAAATTTTAATGATGTTAATTTATTCTATTCATGAACATGGTATATGCTTCCACTTGTTTGTATCTTCAATTTCTTTCTTTAGTGTCTTACAGTTTTCTGAGTACAGGTCTTTTACATCCTTTGTTAAATTTATTCCTAGCTATTTTATTCTTTTTGAAGCAATTGTGAGTGGGATTGTTTTCTTAGTCTCTCTTTCTGATAGTTCATGTGTATAAAAATGCAACCGATTTCTGGATATTTACTTTGTATCCTGCTACTTTACTGAATTCATTTTTCAGTTCTAGTAGTATTTGGTGGAATTTTAATGGTTCTCTATGTATCATGTTATCTGCAGATAATGACAGTTTTACTTATTCCTTTCCAATTTGGATGCTTTTTACTTCTTCTTTTTGTCTGATTGCTGTGGCTAGGACTTCCAGTACTATCTTGAATAACAGTGCTGGGATTTTCTTTTGTCACTGCTTCAATTTCATTGGTTGTATTGGCCTATTCAGGTTTTGTGATTCTTCCTGATTCAGTTTTGGAAGATTGTATGTTTTTAGGAATTTATCCATTTCATTCTGATTGTCCAGTTTGTTGGTATATAGTTTGTAATAATTTTTTTTTACAATCCCTTGTGTTTCTGTGTAGTCATTTTTTACTTCTCTTTCATTTCTGATTTTATTTATTTAGGCGCTCTTTCTTTGTTTCTTGATGAGTCTGGGTAAAGGTTTGTCAATCTTAGTTATCTTCGCAAAGAACTAGCTCTTGGTTAAATTGATCTTTTGTATTTTTTTTAAGACTCTATTTCTGCTTCGATCTTTATTATTTCTTTTCTTCTATGAACTTTGTGCTTTGTTTGTTGTTGTTTTTCTAGTTCCTTTTAAGTGCAAAGTTGGATTTTTGTATTTGAAATTTTTCTTGTTTTTTGAGGTATGCCTCTAATGCTATGAATTTTCCTCTTAGGACTACTTTTGCTGTACCCCATGAATTTTAGGTTGTTGTGTTCTCATTTTCATTTGTTTCAAGGTATCTTTTGATTTCTTCCTTGATCTCATTGTTAACCCATTCATTGTTCAGTAACATGTGATTTAGCTTCCATGTCTTTGTGTGTTTTTTAGGGTGTTTTTTCTTGTGATTGATTTCTAGTTTCATACAATTATGGCCATAGAAGATGCTTGATATGATTTCAATCTTCTTAAATCTAATGAGACTCATTTTATGTCCTAACATGTGGTCTATCCTAGAAAATGTTCCATGTGCACTTGAGAAGAGTGTATATTCTGCTTCTTTGGGGTGAAATGCTCTGGAGATATCAATTAAATCCATCTGGCCTTGTGTATCATTTAAGGCCGCTGTTTCCTTGTTGACTTTCTGTCTGGAAGATTTATCCATTGATGTCAATGGGGTGTTAAAATCCCCTACTATGACTATATTACTGTCAATCTCTCCCTTTATGTCCATCAAGATTTGCTTCATATATTTTGCTGCTCCTATGTTGGGTGCATACGTGTTTATAAGGGTTATATTCTCTTGGATCAATCCTTTTAGCATTATGTAATGTCCTTCTTTGTCTCTTGTTATGTTCTGGTTGTTGTTTTTTTAAATATGTTTTTATTGACTTCAGAGAGAGGAAGGAAGATGGAGAGAGACAGAAACATCAATGATGAGGGAGAGTCATTGATTGGCTGCCTCATGCATGCCCCCAACTGGGGATCGAGCCTGCAACCTGGGCATGTGCCCTGACTGGGAATTGAACCACGATCTCCTGGATCATAGGTCGATGCTCAACCTTTGAGCCACACTGGCTGGGTTGTGGCCTTTTTTTTAAAAAAAGATGTTCTTATTGATTTTAGAGATAGAGGAAAGGAGAGAGAAACATTGATGAGAAAGAAACATTGATTGGCTGTCTCCTGCATGCCCCCTACTGGTGATCAAGCCCACAACCTGGGCATGTGCCCTGACCTGGAATTGAACCAGTAACCTCTTGGTGAATGGTAGGATGCTCAACCAACTGAGCCATACTGACCAGGACATGGCCTTTGTTTTGAAGTTTATTTTGTCCGATATAATTATTGCTACTACAGCTTTTTGCCAGAACCTGGGATAACTTATTGTTTGGGACTACTTTAAACTAAATTTTTAGTTTGAGAGTTTGAGGATGACATAGACACTATACATGTACACTTAGGTCAACGTGATAGCCAGATTATAGATTCAACTTCTTAAGGTATTGCCTTCCTCTGCTAAGTTGCCAAGTTTTAGACAGATTTTCATGTAAACTTTGGTGAAAAGGAGTGGTATTTCTAGTTTACCCTTACACTGAAGTTAGAGCCCTTTGGGGTCTCTGATTTAAAAGAGAAAAGATCTCTACTTAAACTCCCCACCTTAAGCAGACACTGAAATTTGCCTCCTGTACTTTATGTGCCATGAGCCATGAAAACTGATACCCAAGTTGACCTAGTTTGGCAAATGCCCTCAAATTTCTCCTACCTCCCTGGTTCACATCATCAGTAGGTCTCTGGCTTGTGTATTCCTTATTTTCTCTCTAGCACAACAGTGGTCTTAATAAAATGTTTCAAAGCTTTAATCTAGCATTTTAGTTGTTTATAGTAGGAAGTTTAGTCTAGTAATATTGTCTGCTGTCTTACCGGAAACAGAAATCCTTTTATTTTTTAACCTATTTGTATGATTTCTATTATTTTAGAGAATTATCTGTAGCACTTACATTTTTTAAGAAAGTGATTGACCTAAATTTTAAAAATCATATTCTGCTATAGGCTTTAAAATCTTAACTGTATCTATGGTTGTGGCCCAAATTTTATTTACAATTAATTTACCTCTTTTCTTTCTCTTTTTCTAACTTGATCAGGCCAAAGATTAATAAAAGCAAATAAATAGGTGATTAAGATGAAATGTGATAAGATCTATGAAGTTTCTATGAGTGTGTTAGTTATGGAGGTACACACAGGAGACATTTTGTCAATATTTAAATGGGAAGATCTATGTAAAGCTGTCAGTGTGCTGTCTTACACCTGGAAAGACCTCAATAGATATTAAACTTTACAGTACTAGGGAAACCTTCTTTAGCTAAAGGAGAGGTAGGAATTGTGCAGAGAAAGAGTATCAGTGCATGAACGGGGAAAATCGATTAGTATTGATAAGGCCAAGGACGAGTGAATAAACTTTAATATAACTAAAGCATAGTATGAGAGTGAGAATGACCTGGTAGACATAATAAGGAGCCTGAGCTTTATCCTAAGAAAAACACAGTTATTGAAGAGTTTCAAGCAGAAAAGTATCTTGATTATGTTGTAATCCCCTACCCTTGAGGGTGGGTTGCACTCTTTAATTTGCTTCTGAGGAGTAGAATATGGCAGAACTGATGGGATGGCACGCCTGGGTTAGATTGCGAAAGGACTATGGCTTGGTTAGGGTGTGTATGTCATGCTCTCTCCTGAGTGTCCCTACCGTCAAGTCCAAAGGCAGCCCTGTGGAACACACGTGGCAGAGAACTGTTGCCTGCCAAGAGCCATATGACAGAACTTGGACGTGAATCCTCTTCCAGCTGAGCCTTGAAATGACCGCAGCCGTGGCTGGCATATGTTGATTGTAGTCATAGGAGAGATCACGGACTAGGATCACCCAGCTAAGCTACTTCCAGGTTCATGACCCACAAAGACTGTGAGCTAGTAAATATCTGTTGTTCTCAGCCGCTAAGTTTTGGGGCAATTTGTTGTGCAGCAATAGATAACTAGTATTCCCGGCTTGCTGGCAAGCCCATCAGTCTGAGTCCTGGAATGTACACTTGAGATATAGGAATGAGGACATAGTGATTGAGATCATATGCTATTTTATTTATTAAAGACTTAAAATAGCACATTAACAAAACCTTATGGGATAAAGAAGAAATATCAGAACTCTTCTAAATGTGACTGTCATCTGAATGTGGAATTCCTCCACAGTTATGTAAATCAAAGGCTAAGAGTTTGGCTAGAGTCAGGATATGGATAACTGGTTAATTTCTTCTGGAAGGACAGAATGAATGAATATGAAATTGAAATGAAACCCCATTATTTGGAGAAAGAATACTCTGTCATTTCTGTAGTCAAGGCCCACAGTCTAAAGGAAACAGGGCTGTAACAATGATCCAGTAAGTCTCGCCCTAGACATCCCTTCAGCTTATCTCTTGCTTGACTTTGGAGAGTGAACTGGGCATGATTTAGAGACTAGAGACGTGTCTGACAATGGGAAGACGCAAAAATTTTAGGCCTAGACCCATCCTTCGATCTTGAGCCATTAGCGCCACAGGTTCTCTTGGCCTCTCATGTCTGAAAAATGCTCAGGTGTTAGTGTCACTACTTTGAGTGACATGGCTACCTCCATGAGTGGGTGAATATCCTTCTTCCTGAGGTGGGAAGTGACTGTCCCACACCCTCTTCTCTGGTTGTATGAGACAGGGACAAAACAGGGAAGAGATGAGAGGGGGACAAAGATGTCAGTCCAGGAGGTGATCATTTAGGCCTTCATGTTGTAGGTGGTTTTGGGTTTCCAGAGGTGAAACAAGTCTTTTCAGCAAAGGCAGTAGCTAGCAGGTCACAGCCCTAGGGCCTGGCTGGTTTTGTCAATCTGGCAGTTCAGAGTCAGCGCAAAGGACATCCCCAACACCTGGAAGAGTTGGGAAAATATGAGATCTTTACAGGAGGAACCATCTCGCCCACTTCTGGGACCAACCCCAAAGTAAAAGAGTGTACGTTACACTGAGACTACCCTTCCTGCCATCACTTCCGTTTTCTTCTCAGGTATTGTCTCCTTTGTCTTTAGAGTGGCAGTGGGAGACAAGTGGGAGTGGCGATGGCAAGACATAGGAGTATGAAGTATGGGGACATCTCTCACCTCCTTAAGTCCTTAAGAAAGCTTAGAAGCCCTGCTGCTTGTACAGTCATGTCCTGTACAAGTCAACACTTATGCAGTGAGTCACCTCTACCAATGCTCTAGTCCTCCTTGGTTTCCAAGCAGAGAAAATTTGTTTTTCTTTGAGCTATTTGAATAGGTCTTGGCTAATCTGTGATATGCCCAAAACACTTGGGTATAAAAATGGTAGAAATATCACATAATATAAAAACACAAACTACCCCCAACCGATTCCTTACTTGTCAAACTAATCAGAGAAACAACAAAGAAATTGATTATAATTTTCATCACCAATTTCTGCTTAGCATACAGGGCCAGTTTTTCAAGTGAAATGTTTTGTCTATCACAAGCTTTTCTCTCAAGGATACGTTGACCAGATAGATCTTACAGCATATTTTCTGTATGCCTTAAATTGGTAATAACTATTTGCTCCTTGACTGGGGAAGCTCACATTTATTGAATACATACTGTGTAACTGGCACTGTTCTAAAACCTTATATGACTTAACTCATTTAATCCAGAAAATAGTCCTATGGTTAAGCTCTTACCTGGATCACACATACACAGATAGTGATGATGCCGATATACAGGAAGTTGGAATGAAACCACATATTTACTTTTATATAGCAACCCTAGAAAAAAATAAGGACAAATGATACCACTATATTAGTCAACTTTATCAAGAGGCTTGTTTGGGAAGATAGTCTTTTGCCTTATGCCAAGAGACTTAAGCCAGGTGTTATATTTTGATTTTCTTTATATAAAAAAAGAAACAGGCATAAAATAGAGAATATTAAACTAGAGATGGTTTTGGTGGTGTCACTATTACAATGGCACCTAAAGTAAAAGTCTTAAACCCTTACACATTGAGTTCAGCTAACTCCTGAAAGGTATGTTAGCGACAGATGTCCTCACGTTCTTTGAACATTAACTGCTGACTTGTATTAACAAATGGAAATACAAGCAACACAATGCCAGGATTGGTTGCATTTCAGCTTCTGCTTCAAAAGCCAATACCTATCATGGCCCTACCAAGCTCCAGGGCAGTTGGCAATTGGTAGGTGTCCCAGTCTTTCTTCAGACACCTAAAAAATTCCAGAGATTTTCAAACAACCCCAAGAGTGGGTGACATGGGGTAATAGGACCTTAAAGATGGTTGAGTTGGAAGATGAATTTGGCTTCTTCTCCGGGCCTAGTCTGGAGGTCCAAATGCAGTGGGCAGGTTGTTTCAACAGTTCCACCAACTCTCCCTCCCCAACTCCTCACTCCTTCCTTGATGACTCATTTCACTGGGCTGGATTCTGCCCTCTCCAAGGAAGGAGAGCAGAGAAGCAGGTCGAAAGAGCAGCTTTTCTACCCCAACTTTTCAAATTTCACTTTCAACCCTAAAGAGACCCACATCTTGCTCAAGAAACATTTAGATATAATCCTCTGCCACTATCACATAAACCTTCCCCCTCTAATGTAACAGTTTAGGGTAGCAGGACACTTAATGAAGTCTCTAGTCCAAATGAGCTTGTTTTTTGTTGTTTTGTTTTCAAATCTGTCTAGTCACCTGGATTGTCACCCTGGTCTCTCTTTTGTTCAAGGCTCCCTGTTTCTGGCTGGGAGGACTAGGTCCTATATGACAGGAGTTTCTAAGGCAATTAAACATTCAATTAAAGAGGCCAATAACAGAAAAGTTGCCAAAAATTACCTCAACTTCTGGACCCGAAGGGCAACTAGCTGGTGGGCCATTGGTCCAATCACTTGTGCCATTTACTCCACAACATTGCAGCTGAAAACCGAACCCCCCAAAGATGCAATTGTTAGCAAGTCAACAGAATGGAAACGGTGGGCCTTGGAGAAAAGGTGGGCCCTTCACATCTGACTGTAGAGCAGAAAATCCAGAGTTGGCCTGACTACTACAGCTTCTGAGAACAAAGTGCTTCCAAATCCATTATAACATCTCATTCACATAGACTCCTTGAAGTAGAGAGGGGACATTTAGTTTATTCACACTTTACAGATCAAAAATTCAGCACGCAGGGGACTTTATAATGGAGGGATCAGGCTGACCATACCTAGACCCACCCACCAGTCTTGAGATCACAGAAAGTAGGACAATCAGACATTGGAAGCCATGAAGATGCCTTTTCGTAGGGGAATGGATAAATAACCTGTGGTATATCTAGACAATGGAATATTATTCAGTGCTAAAAAGAGATGAGCTATCAAGCCATGGAGAGACATGGAGGAAACTTAAGTGCATATTGCTAAGTCAAAGAAGCCAATCTGAAAAGGCTACCTACTGTATGATTCCAACTATATGACCATCTGGAAAGGGCAAAACTATGGAGACAGTAAAAAGATCACCGGCTGCCAAGGATGGGAGTAGGAGGAAAGCTAAACAGGTAGAGCACAGAGGACTTTCAGGGTGGTGAAACTACTCTGTATGGTGGTGTAATGATGGATATATGTCATTATCCACTTGTCCAAACCCATAGAATGTACTACACTGAGGGTGAACCCTAATGTAAACTATGGACTTGGGGTGACAGTGATGTGTCAATGCAGATTGATCCCTGGTTAAAAAAAGAATGTGTCATTCTGGTGAGTGATATTGATAATGGGGGAGACTGCATGTATGGGGGCAGAGGGTAGATGGGAAATCTCCGTACCTCTCTCTGTTGTCGTAAACCTAAAACTGCTCTAAAAAATTAAGTTATTAAAAAAAGAGGTTATCTTTATATTTAATGGGTGAGATGATATAACATCTAGTATTTGCTTTAATATATTCTAGCAAAAAAGCATAGGGGACTAGCGGAAACACTGGCAAAATATTAGCTGTTGAAGCTGGGTGCTACGTACCCAGAGATCCATTTTGCTAGTATTCTGTTTATTTTTAGACATGTCAGAAAACTCTGTAATAAAGAGGCTTCTAAAGTGAATTGAAAAATAAATAAAGAATTGGGGATTCAGAGAGGTTAAGTTACTTTCCCCAAGGCCACCCAAGGTCTGGCTCTAATTCCTGTGCTATTTCTTCTCCACACTGAGCAGGCGTGGCAGGGCCACAGGTGGCTCCACGTGGTCATAATGGTGTTGTCTGTGACCCACACTATGCCAGTGCCAGGCTGGCTCCCTGGCCTTTCTTTATCTCCCAACACACCAGGGCAGGGACGCAGAGTTAATACAGATATTTGTGGGTGGAGAGGGGGCATGAGGAATGGGGTGCTGGTCGGCTACGCGTCAAGCAGGACTTTGGGCTATCCAGGAATTCAAAAGAGATTTTTTATATAATTTCTGTTTCCAGAAAAAATTTGGAAAAGACACAAAGTAGTCTAGTATGGCACGTGTGGGTCTTCCTTAGTAGGGCTTGAACCATGAGCCTGTCGGAGCTGGTGAAGGACGAGAGACGAGACACAAGTTGGTACCAATGAGACCAATTCCTGTGTCTCCTGTTGTGTGACAGTCAAGCATGTTCTGGACCTAGGGGCTCCGGGCCTTAGATTCTGAACCTTCAGGAAAGGAAGCCCCTTCTAGCCCCAGGGACTGAGGCTGGGAAGCTGAGCCGGGGCTGAGCTGGGGGGTCCCGTCTGCACTCACGAATTTCTGGATGGAGTCCCACGCCGCCTTGGTGCTGTTGTCCGAGTAGTAGTGCTGGATGCTGTCCGTCAGGCCCTCGCGCACAGACTCCTTCAGCTGCGCAGGGCACAGGCCGGCAGAGGGGACATTGGGAAAAGCGGGTGATTCCAAGGAACAAGGAATTTCTAGCACAGGTGGCCGGGCCCGTCTGCTCCTCCCTTCCAAATGGTCTCTTCAGAGCTAAGGAGGGGGACGGATGCCCTGGACATTTTTCTATAGGGGAAAAAGTGCTGAGGGCGAGACGGCATTGAGGGGAGAGGCACACTGGCCTCTTGTGCTTCTACAACCCTGGTTCACAAAGGAGGGAGAGGGACAGTCAAAGCCCGGGCTCTCCTAGGCACCAAGACAGATACTCGGCATTGCCAGGCACGTGGAGAAGAGCCAGTAGGGGAGCATAAACTCGCTTTTACTGTTCTTCCCATTTATCCTTCGAAGAACCACGCAAGTGCAATGTCCTTCATGAAAAAAACATTTTAAATGTTTTTATTATTTTAGAGAAAGGAAGGGAGAGGGAGAGAGAGATAGAAACATCAATGATGAGTCATTGACCGGCTGCCTCCTACACCCCCCCGACTGGGGATCGAGCCCGCAACCCGGGCACGTGCCCTGACCGGGAATTGCACCGCGATCTCCTGGATCCTAGGTCGATGCTCAGCCGCTGGGCCCCGCCCGTCCTGGCCTTCATGACATTTTTTCCCCCTCCCAAATATGTCTAATCTCTTGCGTCCACCCTTCCACTTTGCTTCTGCCTCTAATTGTAGGACTTATTTTGTGCCAACTTCGCCACAGCCCACTCCCCACTCTCTGCAAGGCGACAATGAGCTGTTCTGTGTAACTCACCTTCTGTTCGTACACGAAGAGCAGGATGGCCAGGGCCACCTCAGCAAGCAGGATGATCAGCAGCAGGACAAAGAACTGGGACAAAGCAGAGACACGGTCACAGCCTGGGTCCCAGGCCCTCCCTGTCCCCTGTCCCCGCAGCATCCTGGGAGCATCTAGCTACGTCTCCGCACGTGTGCAGGAGGTTCTTGCTCCTGTGCTTCCTGCTGGCCTTCCCAAGCCTCCTCTTGTTTTGTGAGGAGTATGTATTCTTTCCCCACCACTAGACTCCAAGGCTCCAGAGGGCAGATCAGGGGTCTTCTGTGCTCTTTTGTCCCCACGTGTCTATCGAGCTCTGTGTGCGTAATGTGTGTGCAGTACCATTTGCTGAATCAATGAAACAACATTGGCATTAGCGTATTAAAAGCAGTTGAGCAAAAGACCAGTGTCTTTTGAGTTTGGGGCCTGGTCCTTTGTGCAAGAGCAGGGTCATTTTGTACAGATGGTTCTAGTTCGTATTGCTATCCAACTTCAGATGCCTGTTCCCATTACGTTAATCACACACAATAGAAAACACATTTTCACTTATCCCCTCTCCTTTACCTTTTGACTGCAACATGAATTTTGACTACTTAAAACCTTCGCCCAAAGCCTGTTATCTACCACCTTCTGCCATTAGTCTGGGAACTCTCTGAGGACAGTGCCTTTCTTATTCTATCCCTTGACTCCGGCTTAAGAGTTGACCCTCAAGGGAAAGAAGATTAACCAGTGGCTTAAGAAGAACCAAGGTGGTTGGGAACCCACACCAAGCTCTGCCCTGGGCACACTAGAGAAACGAGGAGCTCTTCTTTCATAGAGCTTAGAGGCAAAACCTAAGCTTAAAGGCTCCCCAGCACCCCACACGTTAGACTTCACTGGCTGCAGCCTAGGTCCTCGCCAAACCGGGTCACTCACACTGTGGCGGATCCTGAGCAGATATAAGACTGGGAAGCACCTGCTGCCATTTTCGGGGAGTCACAGCACTTAGAAGACTCTAGAGACTAGATTTCCCATTAGTGTCTCCAAAAATATAGACTGAGGTGAGGAGGATTCAGGCAGATACCAATCGTATGTGTCTGAGGTGCCCACCTCATGTTCCTCTGCTCTCCCTGGGCCCCTGGGTGAGCGGCCAAAACCCATCTTGCCCGGGCCTTCAGTCATGATGCCCTCCCCCCACCCCCCACTTAGGGCACCGCCTCTGCGAGGACTCACCGACATAAGCAGGCACTTGTTTTCCTTGATGGAGCCCATGCACCCCAGGAAAGCAACCACCATGATGATGGAGCCCACGATGATCAGCACGTTGCCCAGCGTGAGGGAGGGGAGGTTGTGGAAGAGAACCCCCAGGTTGTTGTGGACCAGGAAGTAGATCCCGAAGCCCAGGATGCAGCAGCCGCAGAACTGGAGGGAGAATCCCGCAACGTGCGGAGATAAGCCGTGGTTCTTGAAGAGCTCTCATAGTCTCATTTCCTTGAGATTAGCATCACCTTTTCCCGCTGGCTCTACCAGGACTCCGATGAACAACCCCCTTCCCCAGCTTCCCCCATGAACCTAGGGGAGAGGTGGTCCCAGCTTCCTCCCGTGACGCCCCACTCATGCCTCGTCCTACCCATACCGGATACCGGGGGGAGCTCACTGCTGTGGGTAACACAGCATTTTCACGCTTCATATCCCACCTCCTTGCCCTCAACTGCTCACACATGGTCTTCCCCTCGGAATCCACAAGCATGTAGAAGGAAGACCCTGTTTCAGAAATTCATCTTGCTAGGCAGAAAACTGGAGAAGCCAACTTCTCAGGATGTTTTCATGAGTACCGACTCATCCCATATCTGAATTCGATTGCTAAATTTGGGACAGTGAATCCCTCCCCAGAAAAGGTGGCTTCCCTGTCAATCAGCTATTCTTCTAAGATGTCCAGAGGGCACGTAAAAGCTGGGACAAAAGAGGCGCTTAATACACAGACTCTCAGGTTTCTCACCCATAGATGTCAGCAGTGAGCCGTGATAGCCTACAGTCCCCAGAGAGAAACAGCGTCCCCTCAAATAACTGAACCGGTACCTTTTGATTTTGCAGTTATACTGCGGCAGGATGCGGAGGGGGGAGGAAAGTATTACTCCCTTTGTCTTAGGCTAGGTAACCTGCACATGCCCCAGGCTTGCGTGGGCTCACTCCATGCGACGCTCTTCCTTAGGGGGAGAGGTAGAGC